ATTATTAAATGGATCATCTTGGTGTGCAGTAACTTTGTGAAAAGTAAGCTGAATATTGTATGAGTTAATAAAGTTGATAAGAGTTTGCCAAATAAAGAAGTATGTTGTATGAATATGAGAAAGTTTAGAAGCTAATGAGCAAATACTGTGATACTTGGAGATTACAGATTGTGAGTTAGTAAAGATGTGAACAGAACAGTTTCTGGAAGTAGTAATAATTGTTGAAAGAATAGCAAGAATTTTAGCTTTGAAAAAGCATGGCCAAAGTTTAACTTGTGCCTAAAATGAATAAGTAGTTGTTGAGTTATCAACTTGGACCCAGCCTATGCCTATAGAGCATTGAGAAGTACCAAGCTCAATAACAGAACCATCATCTATCTTAAGTTGTATCGAAGTCTGCATTATGTGTTATGTTAATTTTAATAGAGATAAGATCAAGTTTCACCCAGATTCACCTAATTATGCCTAGTTTCACCCAGTTTCAGACATTTTACTTAGTTTTAGATATTTTATCCAGTTTCAGATATTTTGTCTAGTTTTGAACAATTTAACTAGTTTTAAACATTTTAACTAGTTTCAAATATTTAAAACATTTCAGACTTGATACTTTTGGCAAAACTAAATTTCAAAGGTTTCAAATTTTTGCCTGCCTAAAAGTTTCAGTTTAGGCTATAATACTAACTGAAATTGTCATAAATAGGTGTATTCTCTGTTATATTTTTGTTTTTTTTCTATAACTTTTTTAGTTTAGTTTGGATTTGTTTTTTTGCTTTCTTATAAAAAAGCGTTATCAGATTAGTAATACTTTATTGTAAAGCAACAGTTAAAAATAGCCTTTTAGATAGTAACTTGTTATAGCCTTTTAAATAGTAACTTGTTATAGCCTTTTAAATAGTAACTTATTATAGTTTTATATAGTAAGTACCTTCTAAGTACTCTTAGAAGCAGCTGAAAAAGTTGTAACTTCAAAATTAAGCATGTAGTATTAGCAGTAGTGTTAATATTTTCTTAATAAAAAAGCTATCAATGCAGTTATCTAAATAAAAAAAAATAAAAAAATAAATATTATATTTATTATAGCAATTTTTTAGATGCATAAATTTTATGTAATCTTATGTACATTAATTCAGATTAACTAATAAAATTATATAAAATAAACATAATTTTATACTATCAATTACTACAATTTTTCTATTAGTAATTTACATTTATTGTTATTAAGTAATTATGTAATTAATATTATTTAAGCCCTATAAATACACTTTTAACAATTAGTTAACTTATCTTGCTTACAGCCAAGTTTAAGTATACAAGTATTTTTTTACAAATAATTAGCCTTATAATATATTATTTATTTAATAGTCAGATGTTGCTTTTTATTCTTGATTCAAAATAGATTTATAAGTTATTTATTTATAAATATTTCATTATTAATAAACTTTTTTTTCATAATTAATACTAATCTTTTACTATATAGAATATAATTTATAAAAGACAATAAAAAAGAAAATAATTTTTTGCACTTTGTATAAGTTTTTTTCTGATAATATAAATAAGATAACTGAATTAGAAAATATCTAATAAATTTGTTAAACAATGTGACAAAATATGAAATATAATTTTTAGTACTTGCATTTGTATAAAATTCTTTTTGGTCATAATATGTATATGGATAAATAGCAGAGTTAGTAGATCAAAGATCCAAAGAAAATAATAAATAGTAAACCAAAATTCTATTTTTTTTAAAAAAAAAGAAGTTAATTTCATTTAAAATAAGTATTAAATAAATTATTTTATTGTTTAATAGGTTTTGAAATTGTGAATAAGTTAATAATATATAAAACATTACATTTTAGATTATTAAAAATATTTGTTAAAAGTTAATTTGCTAATAGATATGTAAAAAAATAATTTGTTATTAGGCATATTAGAAAATAATTTGCTAATAGATGCAAGCATTGTTGAATCTGATCACTTCTTTATAACATTTACTGAAGCTTATACAACATTTAAAAAATATGCAATGCAATCAAATTCAGTTATAATCTTAGAAAAAACTACAAAAAAGTTTGATAATAGTTATAAACAGACATTGTTTATATATAAAAAACAAGGAAAATATAATGAAAAAAATAAAAAATTTATTACTAAGTATACTGAATGCCTATTTGCAATTGGATTAAATTATTGCAAGCATACTAATAAATATGTTATAATGAAGTTAAGTTTGAAAAACAACTATAATGTTCGTTTAAGTGCTACAAAGTTTAGTATTGTTGTTTGTAAACTTGATACTAATAATCTAGATTTGATAGAAAAACTCCATAACAATGGTCTTAGAACAAAGAATATATTTTTAGTATTGAATTTTGTTAGTTCAAAATATATTCATAAATTTAATATTAATAATGCAGTAAGCTATTAATGTAAATATAAATTACAAGGTTTAACTAAAATTGAGTTGCTTCTTAAAAGTTTATATAATGATAAAAATATTATAAAAAATGTTGCATTAAAAACTGTATATAATAGTGCAAGAGACCAAAATAGCAAATTTATTCAAGCTATTTTTTGGGCATATTATGCTTTTACTTTCTGAGTTTGCAATAAGAAAAAATATTTTAATTATTAATGCTACATACAAAATGAACAGATTTTCAATGCTCTTAGTTATTATTTGCAACATTAATAAATTTGGATCTATATATCTATTAGCATTTGTGCTTATTTATTTAGAAATATAAAATTTTTATAGTTAGATATTACAGCAATTAGATAAAGTACTAATTACATTTACAGATAGTATACAAATAGAAACAATTATAACTAATCAAGAATTGGCTCTAATTAAAGCAATTTCTAATATATTTTCTTGTGCATGATATCAATTGTGTATATGGCATATTTTTAAGAATATTAAGAATAAACTTTATAAGAATATTAAAATAAATGAATTTACTAAAGCTATTCAGAAGCATTTTTATAATAAAATTTCAGAAAGCCAATTAGAAGAAAATATTAGTATATTATAGAATAAATTTTCAAAAGCATACATGTGTGAAACTTGGATAGCATATAAAAAAAGTTGTCTTGTACTATATATAAAAAGTAATGTTAATCTTGATATAAGATCAAGTCAATATGTAAAAAGCTTATACAGCAAATTAAAAGATGTTGAAAACTATATTATTTTTGTTAACAAGCTGTTTTTAATTTTATAAAAACAAATGTAAGAATTTTTTTAAAAACAAGCATATAAAAGATTTATACATCAAAACAAACATATATATAATAGTACAGATATTGGTCTGAGTAAACTAAGATTAGTATGCTTATAATTTGCATTTGAGTTATTTATTAAACAGCAAAAAGATCTTGAAAGTCTAGTATCTATAAGATATTTGAAAGCAGTAATGATATATATAGTATGAAATAAATTAATAATAAATCAGATCAGACATATATTATACATCTTGGATAACTTAGTATCTGTATATGCCTATATTCACAAAGTGCTAAAACTTTATGTTAGCATGTTATTGCATTCTATTTACTTCACTTACAAACTTATATACTATCAAGTAAGATTCATCAATGTTGGGTTATAAATAATCATACAGAAATAGGAAATGCTGTTTACTCTCATATTACTCAAGTTTTTGAGCAACTTTCAGTATATTACTATAGTACTTTTTCAGATCTAATGCAGCAAGCATTTGAATATGTTTTTGAATATAGTAAAATATCTAAACTGCTACAAAAAGAACAAAATAGTATATAGAATACTATTTTTAAAACTATAAATATTAAAAATACTACAAATCATGATAAAATCAAAATATTAGCAATTAAGCATGCATGAGATTGGCTACTGAATAATAGACATATCTGTAATACAAATAAAAATAAAAAAAATAAAATATCTTTAAAAAAGCCTTCTGTTAAACAAAGCTCAAAATGAAATAACTTAATTGCTTTTAGAACAGTTAGCATTAATAATGTAGTTATATTAATAATGATAAAATAGAAATATATATAATTAAGGATACATATGGCAAACCAAAAAAAAGCATTGTTAACCAAAATTCAAACAATAATAATTCAGTTGCATTACATATATCTGAAGTAGATATTAGTTTATATATTCCTTAAGATGTAATATTGCAAATATATGATCTAATTGGTGATAGACATTATGGGTTCCAATTATTAGCTATGGCTATTTTAAAAATGAAAAAAGATAGTAAAACATAAAAGTTACTATGTATGAATATTTAACTAAATAAAAAAAATGTATAGTAACATATTGGATATAATATCAAATAATTTAAAGATATTTTATTATATGTAAAATCATATTATTCATAAAACTACTAATTTTATACATCAGAATGTACACAACTAGCATCTGATACATTCAATATTCCAATTGTAACATTTAGTTTAGATCCAAATACAAGCTTTTTTTTTATCATTTAATTAAAAGCCTAGTTGCTATAAAAAGCCTATTATTTTGCAATAGTGTGGACATAACTATATTACACTAGTTTAGCTTAAGCCTAATAATAATATATAGCTTCTATCTTTAAACCTACAATATTCATTAATCTGCTATTAACAAAATTTTTTTAAAGATTGGCTTACTTACTTTTTATAAACAAAAGTTTTTTGCATTTAATATTTGCATTTAAATTATGTTTATTTTGCATATATGTTTAGTATTCATTATAGTTTATAAATACTGCAAGAATTTTATAAGACAAGTATTATTTATTATAGTTATTTTGCATATAGTTTAAAAATATATATAAATTAAGGCATAAGTATTGTTATATATATATATTGTTAACCTACAAAAACAACCATAACACTTGAACCACTAAACAGAATTCGATGAAACCACTATCATTCAAATCAGCTCACTAAGACAGTTCTAATGAGGTATAGATTATCTATTTCTGATCACAGAATCACAAGATCGAATCCAATAACCAAATTAATAAGAAAGCTATAATCTGATTGGTTGAATGATTACTGCATGAAATATTATACATATAACATATATAACATTTATGCATTTTGGAGCATATATATTTCTTATTATATTTAGTTTATATATATTATTTAGTTTATTTCTTTTATCTATTTTATATATCAAACATATCTTATTTATTTTATTAATAGTAGTTTTAAAATATCTTGTACATGTAAAAAATATAGGCCATTACATCCACTATATAGCCAAAAAGTATAAAAACAGCAGATGTGGACCCCAAGTTCAACATCGAGTCTTCATACTTTTTCACTAATAAACTATTACTTTGTAGTACCCAAACTAAACAGTTATTAGTATTCTCATATACTTTTAATTGTAACCTCTTTTGTAACTGCAAATTGCCTTAAATCTTCTTTGTTAAGTTTTCTAAAATAAAACACCTTTCGACTTTGTTATAACATAGTAACAAGTAAGGTTACAAGAAGTGTTCACTGTCTAAGGTTGCTTTAGTTACCTACTATCTTAAAAGAAGTAAATATAGGATAACAATATATTATTAATATTATTAGAATAAAAAGATATTAATTATTAATTAATTATAAGATATTAGTTTATAAACTTATGCAAATAAGTAAGATGAATAATACAAATATTATATAAAATATTGAATACAAAGTTATTAATTACAGTTGGCAAAATGGTATTTTTTCAATAAATGTAATATTAAATTTTCAGCTAATAAATACAATACATCATTTTGCAAAACATAATACCATTTGTACATATAGAATCAGTCATATAAATAATTTATTATTTATATGATTTGATTGGTCAATCTAAATTGATATATATAAAGTTACATGAAATTGATATATATAAAAAATTACTATATATATTAACATTATTTGTTTTAAATTTTTTTTTAAAAATAGATAATTATTTTTAAATATTATTGCAATATATATAAAATTAAACCAAGTTTAAAAATAATTACTCAAATTTTCATATTATAATTTATTTTTTATTTTGAAAAAACTTACTTAATTTTTTAATATATAGCAAATATATAAATAAGACCTTTAGCTATTATACAAAAATAATAATTTTTGTATTAAAGTCTTTTAAAATTTATTAAATTTATATATACAATTATTGAAACTAAAGATAATTGTAGAATTTAATTTTATATAAGTGATTTAAGTTCATAAACATTATCTATATATATATAATGCATATATATATAATTTGCATTATATTTTATTTCTGATATAAATAATATAAATAAATTAAAAAAACTAGCAACTACCAATAAGCAATATATATATATATAAGAAGTATAGACAGTATAAAAAACTAAATATTACATATACAAAACAAAAACATATAATTATATAATATATATCTTATATATGCTTTATATATATATATTTAATATATTGTATATAGCTTTTAAAAACTTAGTTAAATAACTTATACATATTTAGAAAAATGTTAAAAAACTAATTGTAAGTATTGTTGTTTAAATTACTATTTTTAAGATTTTAAAAATTTTAGAACTTATTGGTCAAGATATAAATTATTTTGTTAATTACTAAATTAACTTAGTCTATAAGACTAAAAGTGCATCTTATACTAATTTTTAAATTATTTCTTTATTCTTTAAATTATTTTTACTATAGATATATATTAAAATCCAATATTACCATCTTGAGCAAATCTTAATATATACTACTAAAAATGTTTTTCTTATTCTTAGCTATATTTAGACTATTTGAATAACAGATTAAGATTTAATTATTTGTTTTAATTGTCTCTATATCAGATTTTATATATCTATATCATATAATAGATTTTAGTGAAATTGCAAAAAGATTATATAAACCTATCAATTTTAAAATAAAATTATTAATAGTTTTAAAGTAATAAAATAATAACATTAAAATTAAGAACAAAATAGAAAAACCAACTCTTTTTGCCAATCATTAAAACACAAAATCACAAAAAAAAAAATTGATCTTTATACAAAAACCAGTATCAAAACAACAGTTAGAAACTAAAACAAAAAGAAAAAGCACTTAAAATAGACCTAGTAAATGTAACAACAAGAAAAATAAAAAAAACATAGCAAGTAGAAAGAAGACAAGCTTAACAAAATGAAAACCAAAAAGAAAATTTTTGGAAAACAGCATTGATCTAGAATTGCAAATCATTTTGGACCACATGAGCATATAAGAAAACAAACAAATAAACATGTACAGAAATAGACAGAATAGACATGTAAGTATTACAAAGTGCATATGATAAAAGCATTTAGAAATAGTTATACAAGCACAGCCAGATGTTAACACAAACAAAACCAAAAGAGTCTAAAATGCTAAAGTTGATAAGTGAAAGAGCTGAGGCAATACTAAAACTTATAGATAGCAAAGAGTTAGAGCAAGAACTAGCAAATAGAGACAATTACTTTAATATAAGAAATATAGTTATAGCAGCATTATAGAAGACTGACTTAATGAAGATGATAATGCTAAAAAAAATATATAAAGCAATAATTAAAGTAAATATAAAAGACCCAACTAATGTAAAAAAATAGGTAAAAGAAA